GGGAGGCCGAGGCAGGCAGATCACCTGAGGTCAGGAGTTTGAGATCAGCCTGGCCAACATGGTGAAACCTGTCTTTACGAAAAATACAAAAATTAGCTGGGCATGGTGGCATGCACCTATAGTCCCAGCTACTCAGGAGGCTGAGGCAGGAGGTGTAGGTTGCAGTGAGCTGATTTTGCACCACTGCACTCCAGCCTGGGCAATAGAGGAAGACTTTGTCTCAAAAAAAAATAAAAAAAAGATAAAAAATGACTTAAAGGGCAAAAGGCCATCTCTAGCTGAGACCACACTCTTGCCTCCCTTCCTCTCCTTCTCCAGGAGTCACTGGCTCAGTAAATCATTAACATGAGAATCTCCTTCACAGCCTCTGCTTCTAGTGAGCCTCATCTAAGACAGCTACAATAGGAGAACCTGAAGCACAGCCAGGTTTAAGAACCACTACTGCAAATTACAATGAATGAATAAACGATACAGATGGCTCTCCATTACCTCCTCTTCATTCCGGATGTTGCATTGTATGGGAATGACTCGTGCCTGGTTTGTGGGAGGTAGGCTGGCCTTCAGTTCATCTGCCGCAGACTTCAATCTCTCCAACTTACGGGATGCAATGACCACATTACTCCCTGAGGAGAAACAGCCAGAGAACAAATAAATACGCCTTCATGAGATGCAGTGACCACATTACACCTTGAGAAGTAAACAGCCAAGGAACAAATAAATATGCCTTCACCAGTTGTCCAAATTTCAATAATAATATTGAAAAAAAATCACGTCTTTTATTTTTTGAAGTATTTCTTATTTTAGAGTCAAGGTCTCACCCTGTTGCTCAGGCTGGAGTGCAGTGGCTCGATCATAGCTCACTGTAACCTTGAACTTCTCCCAGGCTAAAGCAATCCTCCCACCTGGCCTCCCAAAGTTCTGGGACTACAGGCACAAGTCACTGCACCTGGCCATGTGTGTTCCTATGTCTTAAAAACAGCTGAATTAGGACTTCTGCTTCTGGACAAGATGGAGTAATAGAAACTGAATTTGCCGTCAATCCTGAAATAACTAAAATATTGGACAAAATATATGAAACGATGGTTTTCTGGCACTGGACATCAAGTAGCACCGGACGGTCATCTCTGGAAGAGTGAAAACAAACATGAGCCCTTGGATTGCCCCAGCTTGCTGCCTGGAGAGAGGTTCTAGACTGCAGCAAGGGAGGGGAACACGTTCAGAGACCGAAGTCTCCCTGGTGGAAGAGAAGAAGTTGGGAGCCCAGGGAGCCAAGGCAGTGAGACTGCCCAGGGGATAGGGAGAAAAGATAAACAGAGAGAGAGAACTCCAGAGATCTGCAGGGTCTCTCTTGAATCTTCACCTGAGTACTGATCGATGCTTCGGAATAAATCAAAGAGGAAAGAACCACCAAAACTGGGCAGGGAGATCAAATCCTGGCACTCACACAGCACTGGGAATGGTTAGTGTGCCCAGCAGAAGGAAACCTTTCACAGGGCATTCTGTAAAATACACAGAAGCAGATGGCTTCCGCAGTGAGGCAAAATTCACCATAGACTAAAGGCTGCTC